TTCACAGTAACTCAAGGCCTAAAAATAAAATAAAGCCAAGCAATAGATGTCCCCTTTCAGCATAAAAGTTTTTTTACTTTTAATGGAAATCACTCTAAAACAAGTTTTATCCAGTACATTCTGGATTTTTCTTGATCATCTAGTGTTATTATAATGAACATTAATTGTTATATCCTACAACAAACAATGTTATCATGGACTATTGAAGGTTGAAGACACGTTTGTTAAATAATCCCAGATGTCTAGGATTTTTTTCTTGTATTTCTATATTTTTGTCTTTCCTCTCACCCTCAAGCTATCAGAAAACATGTCCAATTATCTTTTTCAATATTCTTCACCTTGCTTCTAATTTTTTGCTTTTGATTTGGAGAGGGGGGCGGCTGGGAAGTCAGAAAACAAGTTTGTTACACTTATGCTTAAAAAAAGTGTACAACAAATAGGGAAATTTTATTTTTCAATGATAATACTCAATGCTAGTGAGGTTGTATTAAAGTTAGTATTTCCTGATATTTCTCATGAAAGTGTTAATTAACATAATCCTTTGGGAAAACAGTATGGCAATATATGCCAAGATCTTTAAAATATTCATACTCTTTAATATAATATTATTACTTCTAGAACTAATATAAGAAAATAATTTATCATAAAAATATTTATCCACAATGGAATTTGTTGTTTTATCATTTATAATAGGAAAAAGCTGGAAATAAATTGAATATTTAATAGTGGAAGAATGTTTAAGTAAATTATGGAAGCTTTAATCAATGAAATTATAAATATCCAATAAAACTTATAGATACAAAGATTTTGAAATAAGTTTAGTATATGCACATATAACATTAAATGAAAGAGGCAATCCCCTTATCCTCTGCAGAGCTTAGAAATAATATAATAATAATGGCTAATTATTTTATATACATTAACTCATTTAAAACTCATAAAAACCCTTGTAAAGTAAGTACTATTATAAACTTCATTTAATAGATGACGAAACTGTTAGTAAGAGTCTAAGTAAGTTGAAAATAATTGTCAGAGCTGGTATTCAAACCCAAGCAAGGTGGGTCCAAGAGCCTGTGCTTCTAACCACTGGGGCATTAAGTAAGGACATCTCAGTTTATGCTTGCTGAACTAGCACAATTATCCAAGGTGCCCCATTTCATCCTCAGAGGTCCCAATTGAGATGATAGGTCATATGGTTACACTAGCTGTAGGTGAACACAGCCATCTCAACAGTGCTCAGAGGATCAGAAACTGTGAGGGTTTTCCAAGACTGAATACATATGGAATCAGAAGAGTGACCCAGAACATGACTGATACAAGGAAGTATATGATCACATAGGATCAGTGACTAAGGGGGCCTCATGCCTGGAGCCTGTCAAAGCCAGGAGGGGGTCCAGGGGAAACTGGTATGGGGAGTAGTGGGTTACTAGGGCAGGAATAGTGACTTTAGTTATAACAGATTGCAAAAATGGTCACAATTCATCTCCCACCAAGAAGCAGTATCTATTTCCTCCCCTCGTTGAATCTGGGCCAGCCTCATGACTTTCTTTGACAAAAAGGATGTGACAGAAGTGACACTGTGTGAGTTCTGAACACTGCTACCATGTGAACAAGCCTGGGCTAGCCTGGTGAAGATGAGAGATCACATGGAGAAGGACAAAGGTGCCCCAGCCAAGAGCCAGCCACCGGTCAGACATGAAAGTGAGGCCACTTAGGACCAGCCAACTGACGGCATATCCAGCAGCTGACTACAAATGCATGAACAGGAGCACAGAATGACTGTCCACGGAGACCAAACTGCTGACCCACAGAATTGTGAGCTGAATAACTTGTTGTTATTTTAAGCCACTGACATTTGGAGTGCTTTGGGATGCAGCAAAAGCTAACTAATAGGCCAGGAAACCCTTGCAAATATCTCCAGCTTCCACTCTTCAGAGGTCTGGGCAGTGTTTCTTTGGGCAGGAGCAACACTTGGGATAGGGGCAGTGATTTGTGTGTCTAAAGTCACCTGGGATAAAATGAAGATCACTGAGTCCAGAAAAATCAGCCATGAAAAATCTCACCCAATAAGATGTGTTTGGTCCCTTCTTTCAAAAGATAAATAATGTATGTTGCAAAATATGACAGGAGTAAGTTTTGCCAAATTTCTAAGAGAAGTCTTTCTTTATCCAGAAATTATTCTTTTTCATTATTTAATGCAGCTGCTGAAGACAGGCCTGCTCATCAGGACTGCTCCTCCATGTAACTCACGTGCTAGAATTACAACTGAATGTTATCAGAGCCTGTATAAAAAAATAAATAAAATAATATTCAAAAATGAAAAAAAACGTGATGGAAAAAATTATAATATATTATTATGATAGAACAATATTTTATAATATAATAATATTATAATATTACATAATAATATATAATATATAGTAATAAATGAAATATATATTATTATATTGTATGTATATTATATATTATATTATATTAATATCAATAAATTACATATCATACATATATAATATATACAATGTAATATATATAATTTATATTATATATAATATATTAATATTATATTAAAGTATAATATATAATATTATTATATAATTTATATATCATTATGTAATGCATAATATATCAGATAATAATATATAATATTATTACATATTATAATATATACATTATATAATACATTATATTTATAATATATATTATATATTATTATATACTATATTGTAATATATATTATTACATAGTATATTATACATTATAATATATATTACATATATTATTAATTATATTAATATATTATATTTACATAATACATATTATCTATAGGTAATATGTAATATGTAAATATAATATATTAATATAGTATATTAAACATATATTTATATATACAAAGTATATATTTATATATTTATATTATAAATTTTATATATTTAATATATCTTATATATTTATATATAATAAAATATATAAAATACCATCTAAATATATAATACATATATAAATATGTATTATATTAATATATAAATATATATTTATATAATATATAAAATTATATTACATAAAATATTGTATATAATATATAATTATACATTATACAAATATGTATAATAGTATATGTAAATATAATATAATTACATATAAATATTATATATTACATATATATGTTTAGTATTATACATATATAATATGTAAAACGAAATCACTAAACTGTCTATATATTTTATATGTCTAAAACTCACTATATATACATGTTCTATTTTCATATTCTTTTCCATTGTGGTTTACCACAGGATATATAATATAGGCCCCTGTGATATATAGTATGACCTTGTTGTTTATCCATTTTATATGTAATAATTTGCATCTGCTAATTTCAAACTCCAAATCCATCCCTCCCCACCCCCTCCTTTTGGCAACCACAAGTCTGAACTCTATGTCTGCAAGTCTGTTTTTGTTTCCTAGATAAGTTCATTTGTGTCATATTTTAGATTCCACATATAAGTTGTATCATATGGTATTTGTCTTTCTCTTTCTGACTTACTTCATTTAATATGATAATCTCTAGGTCCATCCATGTTGCTGCAAATGGCATTATTTTATTCTTTTTTATGGCTGAGTAGTATTCCATTATAATTTATGTACCATATCCTCTTTATCCATTCATCTGTTGATGGATCTGTACATTGTTTCCATATCTTGGATATTGTAAATAGTGCTGCTATGAACATAAGGGTGCATGTGTCTTTTCAAATTATAGTTTTGTCCAGATTTATGCCCAGGAGTAGGATTGTAGGATCATATGAAAATGCTATTTTTAATTTTTTGAGGAACAGTTATACCGTTTTTCATGGTGGCTGCACCAATTTACATTCCCACTAACAGTGTAGGAAGTGGAACCCTTCTTGAAGAACCAAGAAGACATTGTGGAGGTAGGGATGCCTCACATGAGACTTAAGCTTGATTGTGAGTGAGCCAGACAAAAAAAGAGGAGGGGAAAGTCTTCAGGCCAGGGGTCCAATGTGTGCAAAGTCTCCCAAATGAGGGAGAGCTTAGCCAGTCCAGGGAATCACTGTTCAGCATGGCTGGAGGACAGCATTCTATCAGGAGAATAAGAAGCAGTAACAGGGGCTTCCCTGGTGGCGCAGTGGTTGAGAGTCCACCTGCCGATGCAGGGGACACGGGTTCGTGCCCCGGTCCGGGAAGATGCCACATGCCGTGGAGCGGCTGGGCCCGTGAGCCATGGCTGCTGAGCCTGCGCGTCCGGAGCCTGTGCTCCGCAACAGGAGAGGCCACAACAGTGACAGGCCCGCGTACCGCAAAAAAAAAAAAAAAGCAGTAAGGGTACAGAGGGCCCCTCTCCAAAACGTCCTGTGAGTTTTCTCATGAACTTTGGGCCTTTTGAAAAGAAAAACGGTGAGCCATTTAAATATTTTCAATGGAGGATGGGGCAAGAATGAAGGTAAAAAGGCCAGTTTGAGAGTGTTGCCATAAACTAGATGAGAGGTGTTGATGATATAAGCTCTCGTTACGTGAGTAGGTAAGTAAAAAACAATGAATGGAATGAATGATATTAAAGAGACAGGTTTTGGAGATTTATTCTGTGTGTGTGTGTGTGTGTGTGTGTGTGTGTGTGTGTGTGTTAGGGGTGGGGACAGCTAATCAAGAGAAGTTGAGGATTACTGGCAGGCTTCCTATCCATCCCCCCAAAAGAAAATTACCCAGAGGAGCAGTGTTGAGTGTGTGCCGAAGTCAAGGTCGGACATATTGGGTTTGAGGGCCCCTGTGGCAGCTGTTTAATAGGCATTTGGATTTATGAATCTGGAGTCAGGTGAGAGATTTGAGCTGAGAAAGCTTTGGGAATCATCCCCACATAGATGGTGATTGACCCCACGGGTCCTTCCCTTCCACGTCTGAAAGTCTGGCAAAGGACAGAGGAAGAGGGGATCCCATTTTCCTCAAAGTAACCTGTACTTCCTCCACTGAACTTCCTTCACTGATACCTAAGGTGGCAGGAGCGCCTTCTGAGAAGTGCGTTCGCCTTCTCAGGCAAACCAACACCCAAGGCCTGGGGCTTCAGGGACCTCAAGAGGGGGCAGAGCGCCTCCCAACAACCATGCAGACTTCCTCCACTGGAGGTCAGATCAGCAGTTTCTAGAACTACCAAGTCTTCCGAAACCTGTTAATTGGTAGAAGATCAGACAGCCAGGTGCAAAGCTACATCCCTGGAGAAGTGTCATCCCTGTGCCAGAGCCGTGGCGGGAGAGGCTGGGAGCCTGGAGCGAAGGCACAGGGCTGTCAGGGTCGGGAGGCGCTGGAGTCCAGGGGACCCAGGGCTCTGGTTGCCTCCCCGGGGAAGAGCCACCACCCCAGAGAGAGAGGACCTGCGGCTCCAGCAAAGGCAGAGCAGGAAGGGACGTCTGGGAAAAGGTGTCCAAAGGGCTACGGTGGCAGAAGCGATGGCAGGAGCGACTTCTGACCCTCCCCACTCCTCCCCAGCAATGGAGCCTGGTGCTGGGGCCCTGGGGAGCCCAGGTTCTTGAGCTGGTAATTGATGTCTCCTTTCTGCTACTGTAAGCTTGCAGCCCTGATTTTCATTCCTGGAAGAAACTTCTGCTCCATCTTGTCAGGGATCCTAGTGGCCAGTGAATTCTGATTCCTAGAAGAGTTCAGTTCCAAAGGGCACACGTTCTCCAGTGGTAAGTGTTATTTGGAAAACCTTCAACCCTACAATAAATTAACTTCCATATAGCATATTTTCTTGTATATCTCTTAGAAGCAGTTTTGCTACTGTAAATGTGATCTCTGTTGAGGGAAGATTCTCCCTAGGATGAAGAAAACAGTTGAAAATGTAGAGTAAAACAAAATGAAACAAACAAACCCCTTTCATTAGCTGGTCCTACCCATTGTTCAGGCTGTACACAGTGAACTTCACAGCATCAAAGGTGGCAGGAAACACACTTGCTTCTGAATGCAGATACTTATATCCCTTACATCTCAGGTACCCTTAAATTGGCACTGACGCATGAATGTTGAATGAATTTTGTACCTGCTCTAGCCTTGCCACAGGGGTCACTAGGGCAAACAGCTCAGACCTTTCTTTTCTGGACATAGCTGGCCTTGGCACGTTCCCTTATCTGCCCACAGAGTACTCCCATGAGCCAGGCATGGTGGTAGTTGTCGAGATCTGCCGAAGGAAAAGACTACCGTTTAATATCTAAACAAAAAGCCAAATGTAATACTTACTGAAGCACAGTCTTTTCCAGCAAAGCAAGGAGTTGATTTTATACAGGGTTTGGGAAGTGTGGTGTTGAGGGATTAGTGGACTTCCAAGGGGCAGGAGTGGGCTGATGCTAGCTGTGAAAACCTGCTTGTTTAGATGAGAATGGTGTGGACTGGCTGGCTTTTCAATAGCACAGGGCTGTTTCTGGCTAACTTTCAGAAGTTTGTTCACTTAGGCAAGTTGCCATTGATTCATTAAACCAGTTTAGAACTGGTTCTGGTGGTTCCTTATTGCCATAGCTACAGAATATTTAATCTTTTCCTAAGATTGTAGGAAATTTTTTTAAATATATATATATTTTAAAATTTATTTATTTTATTTTTGGCTGTGTTGGGTCTTCATTGCTGCACGTGGGCTTTCTCTAGTTGCGGCGAGCGGGGGCTACTCTTCGTTGTGGTGCACGGGCTTCTTATTACAGTGGCTTCTCTTGTTGCGGAGCACGAGCTCTAGGCATGTGGGCTTCAGTAGTTGTGGCGCATGGGCTTCAATAGTTGTGGCGTGCAGGCTCTAGAGTGCAGGCTCAGTAGTTGTGGCTCACGGGCTTAGTTGCTCTGCGGCATGTGGGATCCTCCCAGACCAGGGCTTGAAACTGTGTCCCCTGCATTGGCAGGCGGATTCCCAACCACTGCGCCACCAGGGAAGCCCAGAAATTTTTTATTTTCAGGTCTCTGCCTTCAAGAAAAATCGTAATCTATGTGGAGGATAGATACGCAGGCTATATACAGAGGCAGCATAACAGAGAGGTTCAAAGGACAGGCTTCTTGCTCAACCCAGAAGATTGGATACTTGCATTTACCTCTCCTCCTTCCTGAATCTCCAACCAGATGATACTTAGGTATTAAAAAAGATATATGGGACTTCCCTGGTGGCGCAGTGGTTAAGAATCCGCCTGCCAATGCCCCAACAGAAAATGCAAGGGCATTGAATTAGGGACACCAGGTTCAGGTATAGCGGAAAGGCAGGGAGCTCTGAGGAAAGCAGGGGGATTAAGTGGAAATCAATATCTTGCAAAGTAAGATTCTAAAGCCTCTTTTGCTAACTTGGCTCCCAGAATGCTAGCAGCCAGGTTGACACTCACCAAGATAAGGAACTAGAGGGAGAATTTCTCCCTGGGGAAAATGACCACTCCAGGAAAAAAGACCTAGAGATGCTGCCACATTTGGGAGGAGGTGTCCCCTAGCACATGGCTTGGCCCCTGCCCATCATTCTACAATGGAGTCGACAAGTCAATACTTCCTATTTCCCCTCACAGGTCTTCTTATTGGGTTTTAGTGCCTCACACTTACCCATAAATGAATAAGAATTGCCAGACATTTGAGGAAAGTCTTCAGCATGGAAAAGTAGAGATAAAAGCAAAGAGAAAAGAATTTGGAGGAAACTGAGACAATAGAGGAATCAAAAAAATTAAGTCCTACAAATCATGGTCCCACTCTAATAAAAGAAGCTATAGCATTCACGAAGAAAGAATGAGATGTTTTGAAAAAGCTGTATTTAGTGAATAAAAAGATCTCGAAAATAAAAATCAGATAGAAATTAAAAAATCAATAGATAGAAATTTAAAGAATCAGTAGATGTCACAAAATAGTTGTATGACTTTGCGGATGTTATTCAACTTCTCTGTGTCTTACTTTCCCTTTCTATAAAATGGGGATAACAACAGTAACTAACTCATAGGGTTGTCGTGAGTATTAAATGATTTAGTACATGAAATGAGCACACAGTTACTGCTACATTATTTTTTCACTTGCTTTTTACCATATTTTAGCAGAGCAGTTATCAGTTTGTTTATTAGTTTTACCATGCAAATAAGCTTATTTGAATAATTGCTTCTTTTAAATTTATTGGCTTCTTAGAAAAAATTAGCCTATATAAACAACATGGAAAAGCATGTTATTAACTCAAAAGTACTTTTAAAACTAAACTGGTAGTAATTATTTCTAAGAAAAAGAGGGCAATGGGAAATTCATGAAGCCTATTGTCAGCTTCTTTTTTTTTTTTTTTTAATTCAAAAGATTTAAATACAGTTCAAAACAGCACACCTTGTTCATTTCAGCTCCTTCATTGTCAAACCTGGGGCAGGGACAGATTTCCAGTTTCTCTGCCTTTGTCTGTGGTGACCAAGGTATAAAAGTATTTGCTGTATCAAACTTTAAACTTCAGATTATCCTTATTTTTCTTAATCTTGACAGATCTGGCATCCTTTCACCTGTCTGTGAGCACAAAGTCCTTGATTTCCTCAGTTTTCTGGGACACAAAGGAGAGTGCTCAGGCCAACCTACCCCAGAGTGGGAGGAAGGAAGAAGATGGAAAAAAGCTATTGTCAGCTGTTTTGATCCCTTAACTCCAAGTGGCAGTTTGGGAGTTGAAATCCATTCATTTTTCGAAAACTATGTACTCAGCACCTATTACCATGTGTCAGGCACTGTACTAGGTGCTATTATTTTTTCATAATTGCACTTTAAGAAATGTAAAAATGACTGAAAAGTTTTTTTTAAAGTAGGATTGTAAATTAAAGGTGAGGAAATGTCTCAGAAAATAGAACAAAAAGACAAAGAGATGGAAAATAGGAAAGCAAATATATGAAAATTAGAAAATCAGCCCAAGAGACACAATATCTGAGTGATAGGAGTTCCATGGAGAGAGAAACAAACAAGTAGAGAGGAGGAAGTTATTGGAGAAATAATTTTTAAAAATTTCTCAAAGTTGAGTTTCTGATTGATGGGGCCCACTGAGTGCACCAGGCCACCTCACCTTGAAATTTCAGAACCTTGGGATAAAAAGAGGTTGGGAAAAGCTTCCAGGTTGAAAAAAGTCACCCATAAAGGATTCAAAATCATAATGGCATTGGCTATTCAACAGCAACACTAAAAACTGGAAGACAGTAGAACAACGTCTTTAATATTCTGAGAGAAAAAACTATCAGCTTGGAATTATAAAGTTGGCACTCTATCAATCACATGTGAGTACAGAGGAAGTTTTAATCTCCAATAGCTGAGTTACAGGAAAGTAACTGAAGAAAAGGAATGATATAAGATCCAGGAAATAGGAAATCCACCCCCAAAAAAGAGGCAAAGAGAATTCCCAGGTGACGGTGAAGGTAAACCTTCGATAGCAGCACCTGAGAGCCTGCAGCCCAGATGGGAGCAGCTTAGAAAGCTTTGAGGGAGGTGTCTCCAGGAAAATGAATCCTAAGGTACCCGAAGTGTTGACATGTACTGAGATAGAGACAGCTGGGTGAAAGTTTAGGGATGATATAGTGATTGAAAATTAAATGACGTCGCCAAAGAAAAAGTAAAACACACGTTTCTTTTGTTTGCCTAGAAAACTAGGCAAACAAAAACATTAGGCAATTTAAAATTCCAAAGCAAGCACACACGTGTACAAGTGCACATATGGTGCACTACATGTAATTAATCCACTACGTGGCTCAACTGTGCCCAGCACACAGTGCTTAATAAGTTGTAGCTATATATAATGTGTTAAGTGATGTACTAGAGAAATGTATAAAGTTGCACTATTTTTATTTATTTATTTATTTTTAAATTTATTATTATTTTTTTTTGCGGAGCACAGGCTCCAGACGCGCAGGCTCAGCGGCCATGGCTCACGGGCCTAGCAGCTCTGCGGCATGTGGGATCTTCCCGGACCGGGGCACGAACCTGTGTCCCCTGCATCGGCAGGCGGACTCGCAACCACTGAGCCACCAGGGAAGCCCAAAGTTGTACTATTTTCAAAAAATTTTATTTATTTACTTATTTGGCTGCGTTGGGTCTTAGTTGCGGCATGCAGGATCTTTTGTTGCGGTGCTCAGGCACTTCGCTGCAGTGCATGGGTTTCTCTAGTTGCAGTGCATGGGCTTCTCTCTAGTTGTAGCACATGGGCTTCTCTCTAGTTGTGGCACGTGGGCTCCAGAGCATGTGGGCTCAGTAGTTGTGCATGCGGGCTCTCTAGTTGTGGTGCATGGGCTTAGCTGCCCCATGGCATGTGGGATCTTAGTTCCCGGACCAGGGATTGAACCTGTGTCCCCTGCATTGGAAGGCAGATTTTTAACCACTGGACCACAAAGTCCCCATAAAGTTGCATTATTGAAAATGGAACTTAATCCTGTCCGGAGGAGATAGGAACACTTTCCTAGTAGTAGAAAGCCACCACTGGGCCCAGGTGGCTGAATAGAGTTTGACAGGTGACAAGTGGGAAGGACATTGCAGGTGGAGGAAAGTTATAAGCTATAACACAGAGGTTTGAAAATTCATTGTGTGTTAGGAAAATGTGAGCTAAGGATTTATATTCTTCTGAGCTGACTTTCAACTCCAGAAAGTTATAGACAAACCATTACAAACATTTAAAAACTCAGTGAATATTGCTCCCATGAACTCTTCCTGAGGAATATACTAGAAAATTAGCCTCAGATAATCAAAGACTAAAAGACCTTGACATAAAGACTGCACATTGATCATTAACAGCTCTGTATCACACAAAAAGGGATAATCAAATGTTATATAATTTCTGTTGAAAGAGCATGGCATCACCTGTGAAGCAGCAGTGTCGTGACAATTGAACCTAAGTCTAATCATGATGGAGACCCAAGAGAGGTGGAGACTATTTGAGAGAAAGGTGAGAGAAAATTTGGAAGCACCCAGATGCCTGGTTCCATAAGGAGAAGGAGGGAATAGTGGGATTCATGAGTGAGCCTTCTAGTGTTGGTCACCTTAGAGTATTTAACCCAAAACTTCCTATGTTTAGGCTGGTGACACCCTATGATGTCTCCTATGATCTCTGAACCACACAATTTTGTTTGGCCTTAATTTGGGTTCTCAGGTGCAGAAGAC